GTCAGCTGCTTTCTGCGGGGACAGTGAAAATTTCTTCAGCGGGGCTTGTCGCTCGCCTAGGAGTTCAAGTTATCCTCCTGCTAGCACAACTGCCCTCTTGCACCACACTACCTTCAGCACAGCGGGCGCAGCCAAGGCCCTCCTGGCTATGCAGCACGACCGGGCCACTCTATACAGCAATAATGACTTTGTACTACATTTCTTATTTTTTTCACGTTCTTAACGGGGGACCGGACCCCATTTATTACAGATCAGGAGTCATGGAGAGAACACATTTTTTCAGGCAGAATTAAAACGTTCCGGATTGTCTGTTAATGAGAAGAGATTGTTGGAAGCTGTTAGCATCAGTACTTAGAGAGGGCAGAGTATTAAATAAATGAGAGGGAAAACATTCCCAGGCGATTGGCTTTTAAAATGTTAGGGTGTTCCTGGGATATCAGGCATCTTAATGGCTGCTAAGATTGCTAGGAAGTGGTTATTTTGCTAGGCACTTTATGTAATCTTTTCACTAACAATTAACCCGGAGTGAAATCTATTTATATTTAGGGAGACATTAGAAATAATTTCTGTCTTGTGGCTTCAAATATGGGGTTTGTTTTCACAGGCTACGCCTAAATGAACTTGGGGAGTTCAGATGATATACCATGGTGACGATCTCTGATACTCACAGGTGTACCACAGAAAAGTCCTACCTGTACCTGGTAACTTAGCAGTGACTATTCTGTGGCAACAGTTGCTATTCAGAAATGTAGAAATTTAAGCTATGTCTACACTATGAGTTTTCTCTGCAAACATTATGCTAATGAGGGACTCATTTGCGTGAGTTGCAATCTCATTTGCATATTTTCTGCCAATCCATTTTTGTGCTGGGGTTTTTGTGCAAAAACAAGCGGTGTGGACGTTTCCGTTTTGCGCAAAAACCCCTTTTCCCGCAAGATCGGTAAACTTCCTTTTTTGGGGCATGAGGCTCTTTCGGGAAAGGGGGGTTTTGCGCAAAAAGAAAACGTCCACACCGCTTGTTTTTGCACAAAAACCCTAGCGAAAAAACGGATCGGCAGAAAATATGCAAATGAGATCGCGACTCATGCAAATGAGGCCCTCATTAGCATATTTTTTGCCGAGAAAACTCGTAGTGTAGACGTAGCCAATGTGAACAATAACTATGGGCTCTCAAATCTATAGTTCATTGCTCCTATTTTTTCAGTACCAGCTGCAAACACATGCTTCAATATCCTTGTCTTTTAAGAGAGATTTCCATCCTTGGCTAGTCTATTCTGAGGATACCAATGGCACTTCTCATACCAATCCAATGACATATAGAAGCACGATCTGCAATCGGTTTGAGTTGCGCTCATTATTAAATTTGGTGGGGAAAGGGGCTAGTTTGGAGCAAGATTGGAAGTCATATTGACCTCTGGATATGTTCTAAAGTTGGCAAAAGAGAATGAAACAGGACAACTTTTCAGACTTACCTTTTCTCCCTCCTTCCATTCACGTTGTCCCGAAAACCTCTGGCAAATGGATTATTGTCAATTTTTAACTGAGTTATCTAAAAACAGTGGGGAGAGAGCCACAAGTAAGCAACCTACATTTTCAAAATCTCCTCCCTCCCCTGCAATTAATACAGCAGTAGGTTTACTCTTCAAGAAACACACAGCACGTAAAATCAATATGTGGAAGTACAGAGTTTTTTGCATTGGTAGGTGCAAGCAGATGACTTGGTGAAGCTGTATATTGTCATTTGAACAGGACTATGTTTGTCTCCTTGGGTACAGCGACTGGCTTAGTAAATAGCATACCATGGCTTGCCACTGAAAATGCCCAGTGTTGCGAATAACGCGCTGAAACGAAAGTTAACTATGTGCACCGTGATCCATTAGAGTTATGCCTCAGTTTAAATTCTTTAAATGCCATAATTAAACCGCAAACGAATCAGCCACCCCGTTGCTATAATAAAGTACTTTATATAGTTACATTTCAGTGGGGGGAGGGGCGAACAGAACAGCTGATTTTATTGAAAACGCTTTGTAATGCATCAAGATTTTTTAGATTAAAAGAACTGAGTTACCCTTGAAAACATTTGTTTTTGCTTACCTGCTTTACATTTTTAAAGCCTGTTTAAAGAATCGGTGGGGCCCATGAGGTGTTGAGACACAACGGACAGATTTCACCCCGTATCCAAGTTTGCGGAGTTCTTGTAAATAAGAGGCGCGGAGTTTACACCAGAAAAATGCACCAAGGGTTTCATTTACAAAATCAGGGGAGGATGAGCGGGTGGAAAGGGTTATTTATTTATTTTATTTAAAATCCAACGACCTCTGCGTAGAAAGTAAAGCAGTTCCATAAAGTGTAAATTATGCCTTCTCGTTTGGATTCTGGGAACGTTGCACAGTATCTCCTCGGTCTATAATGTTAAACCTAAGACCCAGCGATTGCATGAAAAGTACTTCTTGAAACTATCAAAGGTCTGGCTAGGTGAGTTGCGGAATGTGGGTTCTGACCTCGAGGGCTGAGTTGCTTCCATTACAATACGCTTTACAGTTTACACACAAATTCATGGCAATAACACAAGTACATTTATTTCTATTCTGCAACCAAGTCAGGCTCCGCTGACGGCCCCAAGCGAGCACCGTTGCTAGCAAAACGCAGCCATGACTTATCTCGCCTGCACACATTTTCTAGTTACTTACAAAAAAAACCCTACCGGAACAGTGTAAACTACTGTCCTTCCCCCAGATGACAAATAGTTATTTAAAATATAATAATTAAGGGGTGAGGAATCTTCCAACTTTTAAAATCTCCTGGGACAACAGAAGGGGAAAATACAAGGATTTCATATCACAAAACGCGAGCAACTCAGTCAGGTGCTTTAAATCCAGCACATTTAGTTTAACAAAAAGTTACAATGTGTAGAGAGGAAAATAAAATAAGCCAGTTTTGGCTCCTTGTGCCCCCAGACACCTCTCCATTGTCATAAATTCAGCATTCGCTAATCTCCCAAATATAATTCCTTGCACACAACCAATACACTGGCAGAAGGAAAAAGAAAATCTGAAACTCTACAACTTTTTCACTCTGGTTCCTTCAGCCTTTAATGCTCAACTCTGTTCCAGAGCCTCCGTGATCAGAAAATATTTTCCCACTCAAATCAATAATAAAACCACTGCAGAATAGAAATAATAATGATCATAGGAAACAAAGGTGAGTTGCAGCCTCATCGCCAAGACGCCAATGTTGTTAAAAGAGGTAAACTAGTGCAAAGGCATTGCAAACTACAGCACACGGCAAACTACAACACACAGCTTTGTCCTGTCTTTCTAATCAGCAATCGGCTTGAGTCCCCTTGCACGTGTTTCTCGCATTAAATCCATGCCGAAAACACACACACACCCTCCCACACGCACAGTCTGTATACACTCCCTTTAAAATAACATTTTGTCAAGCCAAATCGGACAGGCGATATTATAAACCTTGTTTGCATTGGGAAAAAAGCAGACTTCCTGATTTTTAAAGCAACGATGTCTAGGAAAAGCTTTATTAAAACCCAACACACGTAAAACAATCCCTCCCTAATCGCCTTACCTTATCATTCTGGTATGCGGTCACAGCGATGAATTCAGTCTCAGGGAACACATAGGTTCTGAACGTACTGTAGGGCAGCTTGAGTATGTCGTTGGCTCTGACAATATGGAACCTCGGTTGGTATTTGTGCATGGAGTTCAGAATGGTCTGCAATTGGAGGGGGGAAAGGGACGATACAATCAGACACAAACCCGGCACTCAGACTCGAAAGAGCGCTCCGCTGGCGAGGATGGACTTGTTCTCTCTCTCTCCATTCCCAACGCACACCTTACAGCGCACACGCATGGACAGCTACCATCTTCAGTTGTAAACGATCTACCTATACATGGTGAAATCCACCAGCATTTTGGCAGCATCTGGGGCTTGGGGGAATAGTTTGCGATAAGGACAACATGTATTTTAATTTAAAAAACAATCCAGGGGCTAAGTTGTAGCTAATTGGTCACCCCAATACATTTAAGACCTTCTGGAAAGAGCAAACATGTATTATCTAATCAAACAGCCAGCAAATGTAATGTTCACAACACTGAAGAATTCCCAGCTCCCTACTTATATGCAGAATCTTCCCAAAGAGAGAGAAAACTCGTCTTTTAGCACTTATCAGCCTACTTGTTTGTTTTATTTAGTAAGTTAGGTTTTATCGCTGCACATGCAGTAAATGTAATGGAGTGGATAAAAACGAACGGGCACCTTGACCTCTCATTTATGTGTCTGATTATTTTCCCTGACTTGCATTATAGTATCTTGATTAATATATATATGTAAATGTTTGCATTCCCAGGCATTGAAACCCTTTATGCACATATATAATTTCCTATCGTAAAAAAATGTGATTATCTATATTTTAAGGACAGAGTTGCTCCAATGGGTTTCTAGAGGTACCAAAAGATTAAAATATACTATATTCACCAAAAGGAAATTAGTAAATTATATTTTAAGATGGACACATGGGTGTTACAGAGGAGGGTTAATTATTTATTTCCACAAAGCTGTTCTTTACTAAGTTAAAAATTAGTTCAAAGGTTTTTTCTCCCTCTTTGCAACCCCCTTCTACAATTTTCCAGAGCTATTCGATTCTGTACTTTCCCATGCTGCAGCCTCTTCAAACTTTAGTGACTGGTTCTGTTGCAAACTGTATTATGGGGGTGGGGGATAGGAATGAAAGAACAATCAAGAGAAGAATCAAAAGGAACATGGACGTACAAATCCATGTTTGTCAGAAATATTGTTAGTCAGTTTAAGTTTGTGGAAAGTGACGACTTTGGACATCCATTGTTCTCCTGTAGCCGGACTATCCGGGTGGATGCACATTCTCTTTGGCATTTCAGGGTCAGCTTTGCCAGCTACCATCCACCGGGAATTATGGAATTTATATCTGCAGTCATCAGCCGCCACAATATCCATCAATAAAATGTACTTGGCCTTTTTATCCAGCCCAGTACATCTCGCTTTAAATGGAGGAAACATTCTCCTATGAAAAGAGAAAAACAGGAAGATAGAGAAAAGACAAGATAAAAACAAACAAAAAACCCTCAGTGAGTAAACTCCAGTGAGCAAACTCAGTGCCATTTCTCAATAGCAACATGCTCTCAAATAAACAGGGATTTATTCCCCCAACAGAAAATTTATTTTTGCAGTCGCTTAGAGGTTTCAAGAGAAAATTCTTCCTCAAAAAGCATGTATAGTTCCCTACAATCTACACACATCCACTCACAAACTTCAAAACCTAACATGGCATGTGGATCTTGAAGAGATTTATATTTATTGATTGATTTTATTTCCCTGAGTGCTAAACAAGGAAAGATGGGAAAACATTAGTTAACTGGGTAAATGCTCTACATTTTTAGGAGTCATTCTATTAGCTGTGGAGGTGAAACAAGATTTCTGCTGGGGCTCGGAATGAGCCACAGTGTTGTATGTAAGTGTGAGATTCAGAATTCAATTATGTCTCAATGTACCAGAACATATCTGAGCAGAGTTCCTTGCAAACGGCATTCCCCTATGCTCATCACGTATGTGTATATGTATAATGCATATACATACGTGTGTTTTTAGTACCCACAATATATAATACACATATAAAATATGCATATTGATATTTAATATGTGTCTGCATGTGCGTATGTGTGTATGCACACACCCCTCATCAATGTATATATATTAGGATACCAAAATTGCTTGCAAAACCTTCTCTAAGACAGAAACCGGTACCTATGCAGTGTGTGTAAGATTAATTTTTCCTTTCATCTTATGTATTTCCAAATACCATTAGTCAGCACAAATTCTTGCACAGATTCACAAGGAAGTGACTGATAAAGATAAGTGATTTCATCTGACATTACTACCTTTATTTCAACAGCAGAATTATGCCATTTTATTATTGTTGTAAAGAACACGGCAGTAACACTGAAATCAAACCAGTAAAAATCCTAACCAAAATTATTTTGTTCTGCTAATATTTCAATAAAGTAATACTAAGCTACGTCTCTCACACACGTGTGTGTACATATACACAGTCACACACGTAATGAGCCTTGACAAGTGTGGCCCTGCAGTCTCAGAGAGAGGCGCAGCATTTCAGCTGTCTCCAAACTTTTAACAATTTCAGATGAAACAAGTTTTATGGGGAAGTCATGGACTCTCCTTGGACCTGCATTGTAGGTTGGAGGGGAATAAAGAGAGAAACACACACACCTACCTTCCTGATTTAGTAATCACCATTTCTGTTCCCCTTTTGTGGAATTGTTCCCAAAGTTCTTTGGCTTCCAGATGCACTTTGGGGTCATCTTCCACCTCTTCTTCTGGCTCCAGCGTTTTTAGAGGCCTCAGATGAGCTGCCGCCTGGTGACCCAGGGAAGAAAAAGGGATGCCAGTCTCTGCCGCTCCGACTAATTGATCCATAATCGGTTTGGCCAGAGCCCCGGGAAGGGAGAGAGCAGCCGCCCCATTGGGAGGCAAAGCAAGAGCCGGGAAGAAGGGAGGTTGGTGTCCTAGCACTGCACTCATGGCAAAGTCCGGTGCCCGGTGAGGTAAGAAGGGGTGGTAAGCCATGCTTGTCCCAGGGATTACTGGATCTCTCATCGATATACTCATCCACCCCCACCCGACCCCCGATTTTCCTACTGCTGGAGCAGCCCTTGAGTGGTTTCTAACAGTACATTGTGGGAGAAAAAATCACCCCAAATGGGGGATGGTGCTGAGGAGTACTATAGATAGATGCACAGCACAGGAAACAGAAAAACCTGAGGAGTACTATAGATAGATGCACAGGAAACAGAAAAAATCTACAGACTGGAAGTGGCCCAGTCGGGAGACATAATCATTCAAGACACTTTCTCCTAGTGGCTGCTGCTGCTGCTAAGTGTTATGGGTTTTTCCCCCTGAGTGGAAGTTCTTGCAATTGAAAAGTATGCAGAAGAAGAAAAAAAAATCCAGTGATGTCGCTTCTGCTGCCTGAGGTCTCCGCTTTGGATACTGGAACTCCTGGAGCCTGTCTATGTATGTATTTTATTTTCCTCCCTCTTTCTCTCCAACCACCCCCTTCTCTCCGTTGGTTGCAAAGGCTGAAGGTTCGAAGACGGGTTTTCTTTCTGTGGTTTGTTTTCTTGTTGCTGTGAGTCTGTGTATCCCTTCCCTCTGCTCTCCCTTACACAGTTAGGCTGCGGAACAGAGCCTGGAAAGGGAAGAGGAGGGGGAAAAGAAAAACAAACACAACTCCCCACAATACAAAAAAGGACCCCCTGTCTGAATCGCTCTTCTAGCAAGCGGCAGCCACAAAACTTGGTTGTGAAAATCTTGCTTCCGTTCCCCTCCCCCGCAGAGCCTTCTCACGGTGCCCTGATTCCAGTAAGAATCTCTTCTTCTTTCCTTTCCCTTCTCTCTCTCCCTGCCTTTTTTTTTAAAAAAGGAATTACACTCTTGTCTCCGCTCCAACACACTCCAGCAGAGGGGAGAGCGAGCGAGCGAGACAGACTCGCCGCTCCAAGAATTCCCCGTGAGTCTGCTTCCCTTGCCCCAGATTGTATGGATGTGTTGTGGGTCGCAGGGGAACTGGAGCCTAGTTGATTGGCTCTTTGACGCTTTCGGACCAATTGTGTGGCTCCATAGGCGTGGTTTTGACAGGTCGGGTGGAGGGGGACAGAGCCGAGTTATAAAAAGAAGGTGTCGGAAACTGTAACGCTGCAGCAAAGCATCACTACTACTCCATGGCGTGTGAATATGTCAACATGATCAGAGGGGAGGGCGCAATGAGCCGCTGGGGGGAGGGGGAAGAGAGAAACCCTGCT